ATATATATATATATACTTACAAATATTATTGGTTAATGGATAATTTCTGACCAACAGAGCTTAATGATACAAATTATATATCTGTGTATATTGCGAAATTATCAAATTTAATAATATCAATACGTATATGATACTGATTTAGTATCAATTAAATAAAATTGATTGAGGATGGATAGTATAAATATTTATTAAAGTACAAATACGCATATACACACACATATATATATATATAATTATTTACTTTTACAAGATGTTTAATTTCCCCAAAATTTTACTTACACCCTTAATATACTATACTATCAAACTAATACAATATGTTTTTCTAGTGAATATATTTCAGTTGAGTATTGTTACTTAAAAGTAAATTCTAACGCAACTATCTTAACTACCTCATTAGACCTATATCTTTACACTATATACTACTTTTAATTATACTTTTAAATAATTTTGCCATTAATTAAAAGGTTCTAATCATATATTGAGAAAGCCATAGTTAAATATATGTATTGTTATCAGATACACTAAAATAAAAAGATAACGAGCGAGATAGATATAGATCTCAAATAAATATGAATTATATAATATACAAAACGGTAAAAGAGCCGCAAGTGAGGTGCTAATCCACTTATGTATTTAGAAAAATTATATCTAATTTTAATCTCATATATTTTCTTATTTTTATTTATAACTTTTTAAAATTAAATTATTTGATTCTATATATAAATAGAATTATTAATATTCTCCCTACCTCATAAATTTCCCATTTTTCTTTATTGATTTAATCCCTTTTGGTACTCTTCTTTCTCTTCCATCCAAAGCCAAGAATTTCTACTGTACTTTACCCACAAAATAACTATTCTCTGCAAATTCTCCATTGCTTTAACCTTTCTTTTTCTCATAAAATAATTCTCTTGACCCAATTTTTGTAAAATTGTTTTTTTTTAAATTCTTTTTCTTCTAACCTTAAAATCATGAAGGTTCATCCAGTACCAAGAAAACGCAACATCACGTTACGATGCGACATCGTTTCGGCTCTTTCTCAGGCTAATTCGTTAACAGGCCGTCAGAAGAAGCTCCGGCGACTCCCTCATATATTCGCGAAGGTTCTAGAACTTCCGTTTAATTCCGATGCGGATGTTTCTATTGAAGAAACTTCTGATTCATTCCGTTTTGTTATACCGACGGATGATGCTGGGAATAATATTAGGGCTGACACAGTTGAGATCTATCCGGGTGTTACTAAGATTGTAATTCGAGGGGATAATGTTTTGGATTCGTCTTTGGGTGAGTTTGAACTTGATTTGTGGCGATTCCGTCTTCCGCCGTCAACTCTGCCGGAGTTGGCTACCGCTGATTTTGCTGACGGTGAACTGGTGGTCACGGTTCCGAAAGACCCTGATGAGGAGGAGGTCGATGATGATGGTATTGGTGAGGCTGGACGCCTTATTCTTGTACAATAAACTTCTCTCTAGCTTCAGTTGTTTTTTTTCAGTTTATGTCCCAATTGTGGCGCGTCTTGCTAAAGGGATATATCTTAACTATCTATGTTTGATTAAATAAAATAGTACCTTTTGGATTTCAATTTTGATCATTGTGCTCTACTATCCTTACTTTTTGGCTTTTACTTTACAAAAGGTCAGGAATGAAGAGGATTCATAATAATGAACTTCAGCTAGATTTAGTGGGGTAATCTATGGATGTATTAGACGAAATTTAGTAGAATCATTGCTTTCATTAACCACTAATTTGGTGTGGAATTTACTAATAGGCCAATTGTGAAAGAAGAAAAGAGCAGGCTTTTCCTTGAAATATTAATGGCTATGAGTTGTTAAAGTAGTCTTTATACTTCTGTTGTTGCAATTTGTCACAATCGCATCTGCGTAGCTTGAGTTGCTGAGTTGTTCAATTGGTTGTGTTGTATAAGCATAAATGTTTGTAATAGGCAAATGGCTGATTTCTTTTTTTTTATTCTTCTTTATGTGTGTGGTTCATGTCTGTGATCTTATCGATATAAAGATGCATTCTTTCTTTGTATCTTGAAATTTAGTTCATCTGATTTTTTTGGTTGCCACTATTTCGAAATCACTTTACCATTAAAAAAGTATGCAATGGTGGTGCCATTCAGTTGATTTTCTGTATATCCTTTTATTCCTATCACAAAGGTATGTGTTGATGATTGATGAACCAATGGAAGAACATATAGTGAAACTCCATGGCTCCTAGTGTCTAAGATAGTATTGATCACACGTCATATAGACTTCTGCTGTCCGATGTAGCCGAAGAACTGCTGATGTTGGTAATTCTACCTTCACTTTTGCAAAAAATACTCCGAACTGCCGCATGATTATCATCATTATTCAGCTGCTAATGGGGTAACAATTTCTCAAGTGTGTGCAGTCCTATATTATGTATAGGGTCCTAATTCTTTTCATGGTGTTGTTACCAATTTCCAACAGATTAAACCATTTTGATTTGTAGGTTTATTCGGATCTTGTTGCACTTCTATGCTTGTCCAATAACGTCCCATCAAAGCTTTCTTGGTTCTATCCTTTTAATAATTACTTTCCCTTATTGTCTTATATGTCATTGCTGTGCAAAAGTCATTTCACACTATAGTTCTTCATTTGTATTCTTATAGTTCGGTTGGTGCTGCTCTTCTGAACATGAGTACCTAAGTGTAGAATTCTGTTGCATTTACTAGTACCTAGACATTCTAGTTTCAATCTGCTTTGCATTTATAATAGAATTAGAGCCTGTTTGGAGTGGCTTATCTATGGTGCTTTTAAGCTTAAATGACTTTTAAGCACTTTTGAAGTGTTTGGATGAAATTAAAAGTGCTTTTAAGTACTTGTTTTAAGTCAAAATAGCAAAACTAAGCCAAAGGCAATAAGCCAAGGGGCCAGAGTGGGTTCTTAACAGATTATTGAAAGGCTTAAGAGCTAAAGGAATCTGAAGAAGTAAATCATAGAGACATCCATTGTTGCATGTTGTGACATTTGAGTTGACTATTTTCTAGTCCCCAGTTGCATTTTGTTTGAAACCAAGTTTTTAGCATCGTCATGTTATGGTGAAAGAGGCATTAGAAGCAGATCCTAAGTTTAACTCTGTTTCCAGCTGACCTAAACAACCTAGAGCAGACAGATGGTGTAATAATCTGTATGTCGCTTCTATATTCCCATGGCTATGTGATCTGTGAGCTTTTAGCTTTCTGGCCTAATGGCTGTAGGGGTGTTCAATGTTTAATCATCTTGTATCCGAGAGAGGGCTTTTTCTGTAGTTTGCTTTGCAGCTGGGAATCTGTCTTTTTGCTCAGAGTTTAAAGAGCTTCTGAAGCTGCCAATCAGTTGTCATGCTATTGAGTTTTTGACCAAATTCATCCTTGTTCTTTTCACCTCAACTTCCATACATCCTTATAATACTCTACTTAACTAAGAACATCCTTTAGGTTTCTAAAGAAATTATCAAAAACATCTTCTGTTAAATATTTCATCCTTTTCTAATAATCTTTATATCAGTATCAGTTTATAAGAAAATAAAGAGAAACAAAAGAAGAATCGCCCAGAAACAAAGACTTGACCTAATGAACACTGTGTAACCGTCTTCAACCACAGTCTCCGTATATGTAAAAAATATATTCCCATTTGAGGGTTTGGATATGGAACAATTTGGAGCAATGGATTTTTGAATAGTTCACCCAGCTGAGAGAACTGACTTAGAAGGTTCTTCCTTTTTTTTTTTTTTTCTCTGTTGTTTCTTGGGGTTGTTCCTTATCACTCTTTTCTTTCATGTTCTGACTTCTGAGAAATAATCTATAATTTAGCCAAAACTATGTATAGGCACATTTTTCTGAAAGTACCAAGGTTGTGTTGAGTCATTATTCTACTTATTGAATTATTCAATAACTAATGAGGCTGCCCAATAGCTTGGTGTCCAACGAGCTAAGAGCATCAAAACTGGAGAACTACTTGGAGAAGAAGGGATTTCAGCAATGTTCTCTGGCCAAGTAAAGTTCTTTTTGTTCTTTGAAGAGCTGGTGGAATTCTTTTTGAAAAAGAAAGAATAACTAAGAGATGAAGCGAAACTGAGAAAAACAGATTCAGTTAGAAAAGAATGAAAAAGTAAACAGAAGGGTGTTTTTGGTCATATTTTGGAAATTTAAACAATGTTCTTAGTTGAGTGAAATATTACAAGGATGTCATGAAAGTTGAGGCAAGACAATAGTGATGAATTTGGTCAAAAATTCTCATGGTAATGCTCTTACGTGAGATTTATTACAATCGAATCCCTAAAATAGACCTTACAAAAGCCATATATTTAGTGGTCATTTTCAGTCCCAAGCCTATGTAAAAGCTTTGATAAGAATCCTTTAGTAGCTTTTGCATATCTTCAACTTTTGTATGTTCAACAAACGTGTATTATTGCAGTGTGGGACTGACTATGTCGAGTTGCATTATCACCCAGGGAATTCCCGGAAGATGCGTTATGTTTATTTTCTTCTGGTTGCTGGTAGATGATTGTATTGGCAAAACCAACTTCTGTGTCAATTTATTTCCATCACTGATATCAGATGTTGCACAATACCTGTTTTCTTGCTTCAAGTGTTGTCACGATCCTGGTAAGTTTCTACTCGAATGACTTTGATGAATCAGAAGGTGGTACAGAGTTTTTCTTATTTTTCTGGTTATTTCTACAGTTTTAGTAAATTGTACTAGTATAATTTCTGGTTATGAGATAAGTGGGGTCTTGCAAATGTTAGCTTCACACTCCCTTGTGTCAGCAACACAAATGTGCCATTTACACTTGCTGGCAATGACACATCCTAGTCTAGTCTGATGTGAAATTTGAGGCTCCACACTCCACATAACACCATGATATGAAGTAAAGGATGAATCTAAGAGCTTTAACTTTTATCTTGAGAAAGACGAATTTTCGTCACTGTATTTTTGCTGCCAAATTACCTCTCCTGAAATTACACGAAAGTTGAACTATTCTCCAACTTTCTTTGCAAAGTGGGACACGAATACATTCTGCTTGGAATGGCTTCAAAATACTCTTCTCAAGTACTGTCACTCTCGATGGCCACATTTAATGGCAAAAGTGTTTTCAATCATACTATAAAGAAAAGTTTTGAAGAGTAGTCAAGGAATTGCATGTTTTGTGTTTTATTCTTGATTGGTCATTTTCAATTGCAATGGAATTGAAACAAAGTAGTCTTCAAGGGAACTAATGATTAGCTTTTATAAACTAGCTAGCTCATAAATTAGTGACAATGGTACGTGGTAAACAAGTTAGTCGTTGAGAAAGTTACCGATATTTATTTTGTTACTTAATTTTCGCTTCTTCTCTGGTGTCCAATACATCTGAAGTCCTGACTAATTCGAATTTGAGTTGAGTGGGGGCTTTTTAGAGGGTAGCGCTTTTTATCAAAGGCTTTCTTTTCTTCTAAAACTCAATATACTTGAGGGAAAAGTAACTCATCCATTGCTATGTCTCTGGGGTTTACTTTGAATGTGGGTCTGATATATTGATCGCGATTTCTTGCTTCTAAATGACATCATTCTTTAAAATATGAAGAATTTGGGGGTGTAGAAGATACTAGACGAGATAAATGTAGGAGTAGGTTTAAAATGATCCTTTAATTATGCACTTATCGAATTTAGTCTTTTAACTAGGTAAAGACCTATCACCTTTGGTTCCTTAAATATATATTAACCTATTTTAGTCCTTGAATATTCAAAAACTTATCAGGTTTTACTCTTTGGTAACTTAGCTTGACTACATCCTCAACTTCAAATTCAATGCAAGTCTAAGCTACTGTGATGTACATATGCCAAACATAGCGCCATAGTTAAAGTCGATTGAGGGTTAGATCTTGATGTAGAAAGATCTCAAGCTGAGGTGGAGAAAAAAGCTTATGATTTAGTTAGAGCCTATCGAGGGTTAGATCTTGATGTAGAAAGATCTCAAGCTCAGGCAGAAAAGAAAGCTTATGATTCTGTTGATGTGAAGTAAGCGTCTCTAATAATCAAAGGGGGCTAAAGGAGCTTACTTTAATGGTCCTATTGTCCATTTTCTTATATACATAGCTTAACTTTATATTAATGGAACTTTTTGTGAAATTAAATTTCTAATCAATTTTTAAAATTGATTTTTTAATCTCTGCTATTTTTTTCTTTGTGAAAAAACGATTCAAAATAAAATTAATGAAAAAATAATAATATAAGACCTAATTTTATTCGAATGAAATGAAGCACGTAAAAAGTTACGGTCACGAAAATTAAGGTTTCAGTTTTTTCCTAAACGATCAATTGTTTGGGCAAAAACTTTACTAAGCACCACCTGTAAAATCAATAGTGAAGTGTTTTAATAGGTTCCTAACACGTGTTATACATTTCCAGCCTTTGGCAGTACCATTTTATCACCTTATATGCAACTTGTGTTTCTCCTCCCTCTTCTTGAGAATCTCAATTCAAACCTCCATTTCATTCGAAACAGAGTGAAGCTTCATGTTATAAGGAGCCGTTTGTTACTGTATAACTTTGTTTTTTTATTTATGTATAAAATATTGTATTAAGTTATATAATATTTGATAGAAACTTTTGTTTAGGTAGAAAAATTAACATAATTTATATTATGTTTGGTTTTATTTTTGCACTTCTAATAATTAATATCAATATAATTTATGAGGAATCTATGTAAAAAGTTTTGCAGATAGAAGGTGGAATAAGTTATGAGGGTATTAGTTACACATATCTTAACGTGGTAAATTACATATTTACTCTATTAATTTGTTTTATTATTTTTAATTGGAAATTTTATTATTTTCCTATATGTAAGTTTGTTGTTTATTTCTTTTTATGTTTAGATTATTTTTATTTCTTTTATTTTTTTAATTGAAAAAATTATTGTTTTCTATCAACATTTTTGTTTTTATTTCTTATATACTAGATTATTTTTTTATCTATACTTCCGTATGCAGATATAAATATTTTTTTAATATTAGAAATTGATTGTATATTTTTAACGATACATATGCTAATTAAGTATTAATTATATATGGGAAAAGTGTCAAATATGCCCCTAAACTATTCTAAAAGGTCTAGATATACCATCCATTTAAAGTTTGGTTCACTCATGCCCTCATCGTCCAACTTTTGGTCCAAATATGCCCTTATGAGCGTTGGTTGCCATGTTGGACATATTCAATTTCATTTTTTTTATTTCTTTAAATGCCATATGAAATTGCCATGTCATTTTGACCTTACCACGTGACATTTATATGAAAATGAAAAGATATTCGGATTCATAAACACCTAATCCGATCCATAAATCAACTCCTTTTAAATTTACTATCTGACCCATTTCTAATAGTTTTGTTTAATTTTTATTTTTTCGATTAATCCCGAAAATGAGTAATTGATTAATTAAAAAATAGGAAAAATATTAAAAAGATATAAAATTAACGCCAACAATTCACAAATAAATATAGTAACCTTAAATTTAACATTTTAATATTTTTTTTTAATTTTTATTTTTTCGGTAATCTCCAAAATGAATAATTTGATTAATAAAAAAATATAAATTAGCGCCATAAGTTCACAAATAAATATAGTAACCTTTCATTCTACAATTTTTTAATTTTTTTCAATAAATCTCGAGAATGAGTAATTTATTAACAAAAAAGGGAAATATGAAAACAAAATAAAAAAATTTACGACAAAATTCACATATAAATATAGTAACCTTAAATTCAATAAATTGAACAGTTTTTTTTATTTTTTATTTTTCTATTTTTTTGTTTTAAGATTTTGATTTTTAATTATGAAAGCTTGTTTAGAATTGAAAATTATTTATTTTTGGTTGTTTAATGTATTATGTGGTAGTTCTCCAATTGGGGGGTTAGTGTGGTGTTATGCACAACATATTAGGATTGTACAACAAGAGATCGTAATACAAAAACAAGATGTGATCACCTTAATACCAATGATATCAAAATACACCGATTATATGAAAAGACTAATACTACAACCAACATGTTGCTCTACATTACCACCAAGCCAAATACAACTGTGAATCCACATCTCAAACAAACACATTTCTCTTTCTCTTTATCGATGACTAGAAAAAAAGTGAAGCTTGCTTTCGTTAAAAGTAAAACTAACCATGAAGTCTCATACAAAAATAGACCAAAAGGGTTCTTGGCGAAAAACTCGGACATATTTTATGGTATTTAAATGGCTACGATTATTTAAAGTTCTTATTACAATGAACTTTCATGATTTGAGAACACCACAAATTCATTTGTTGCAAGGACTACAGATTGTTGTAGTCATTTCAATACCATAAAATATTTTGATTCATGAGTCTTTTCCAAGAACTCTTTCTATCTATTTTTGGATGGAACTTCCTTGTCAATCTACTTTCAACGAAAGCAAATTTTTTTTTTTTAATTCATGGCTGAAGAGGAGAAGTGTGATTAGGAGGGGATCAAATGATTGTTACTGTTGTTATGTGTTTCTTTGATTAGGATTGACATTTATTTATAGGGAAAATTCAGATTTTCTGAATTTCTGAATAGTTTGAATTGGTGAATATTAAATTGTCGGTAATAAGTATTTTGGCATGTAACTAAATGATGGTGTATTAGATACCACGTATCTGCAAGAGATGATTATCTAGTTATATTTAGAAAAACAATTAGTTAATTGTTGTTATTCTTTATTCTTTTTTATTATTATTATTATTTCATTGATGAATCCTCACAACTAATTGTAATTTGATGATTTTATAGTAGCTAAAATTATGTTACTAGTAATTTTTATAAGGATATGAATAAAGTATTACCTAGTTCATTATAAATGATAATGTGATTGAACTTTGATAAAAGTATCATCTATTACATTTGTTAAAAAATTGACTTTTGACTTACATGTTTGTTTGAATAGATGAGTATATTCATTATTTGAAAGCTGAAAATAATTTTGATTTGCAAAATTATTTTTTACACATGTTCACTTATAATTTAGTTACAACATTTGATAAATTAATTTTTTAAATGAAAAATGCCACAACATGAACCGTCGTTATTCTAGTCATCTCGCGCAGAATCTTAAAAAAAATTAAAATACGATACAAATTTGAAATTTGGGACACACGATAAAAATTTAGGAATCTAAAAATTAATCAAGCCGAAATCATTCCTCCATATTTCTGCTATGTTGATGCCACTATAGGGCATGTCAGTTGCTATAGTAGGGGAAGAAACTCAAAGAAACATAAATTCTTTTATTTTTCCTTTGACTTTTTATTAATAAATCAATGAGGTTATTTTTTAAAAATCTAATAAGCAGGTATAAGCTCGGGAACAATATTACTACGCAAAGAAAGTGAAAACCCATGGATTCTCGATCTACTTCTTTCGAGATTCTTTTTTGTGGAGCAACAATAGAAGGCCACTGGGTAATCCTAATTGCAAACGTTAGCTTCACTCTCCCTTGTGTAAGAAACACAAATATGTGCCATTTTCTATACGTTGTCATTTTTTATTGAAATTAGGAACATTTTAGTTAAAATAAATATTAAGAGTAGAGCAGTCTTCAAAAATAACCTTTTTTCTTAAAAGAAATAATGGTGTGGGCGGTTGACACCGCAACTTCCAAAGCACCATCTGTGAAATCAATAGTGAAGTGTTTTATCATATCCGTGAACACGTTTACAGCCTTTGGCAGTACTACTTCATCACCCTAATCTAACTTATGTTTATCCTTCCTCTTCGATCATTGATGAGGATGAGTCATAATGAAGATAAACCCATAACATATGGGGACGTGTTTTTTGTGTCCAGTGAAGTTAGTTCAGAAACTATATCAGCAGAAGATGCATCAATAATGCAATCAGTAGAGAGTGTAGCCCTGGGTCATGTTCCGCGAGGCGGCCCTGCATCACTCATGCAGTCAGCCGCCTCACAGAATGAGCGTATGGGTGTGGTAGATACTAAGGATTTCGCCACGGAACGCGGCGTTACTGTTTCTCAAGTGGAAGTTGGGGGTACTCGTCTTGTTTCTGAATCCGTAGGTGGAGAGGTAAACTTTTTATTTTATTTCATCATAATCATGGACTTTATGAATCATTGCAAACACTTAAAATTGTAATTAGCGTAGACACATTCAAATTAGACAATATAGATGCTAGTCCAAGTTTTAAAGGATACCGTATATAAATTTGCTTTGCTTTAGATGCACATAAGGTTTCAAACTTAATGCGGTAGATACAATGGATTTTCATTATAGTTTACCATGTGATTTTCAAAATTGAAATGGGAGCTTGTTGGCAGAGGCATAATCAGAAATTTTATGAAGATTGTCCAAATTCATTGTTGAAATATGAATCATCAGATAAAGGAAGAACCTACAAGGAGTTCACAAAAGGAACCATATGTGGGAAGTCCTCAAATAAGCTGCCAGATGAAACAATTGTTGGGGTCCCTTAGTAAGAGCGAATCAAAGCCCTTTCACGAAGTCATCGTTCTCTAAAATAGGAGTTAGCCCTGGGCAAAGAAGCACTCAAAAACCTAACCATTAGATTTTTATCCAAACAAACACATTTCTCTTTTTCTTTAGGGATGACTAGAAAAAAGTGAAGCTTGTTTTCATTAAAAGTAAAACTAACCATGACGTCTCATATCAAAAAAGACAAAAGGGTTCTTGGCGAAGAACTCGACATATTTTATGGTATTTAAATGGTTACGTCATCTGTACTACATCGAACATGATTTGAGAAAACCACAAGTTCATTGTTGTGGTAAGGAGTACAGATTTTTGAGTAATTTCAATACCATAAAATGTGTTTTTTTCATGAGTCTTTTCAAGAACTCATTTGTCAATTTTTACTTTCAACAAAAACAAACTTTATTTTTTTCTATTCACGGTTGAAGAGAAGGAAAATGTGATTGTTTGGGAGGACAAATGAGTATGTAATTTCTTTTCTTAGAATTGACTCCTATTTATAGAAAAAATTCAGGTTTTCTAAATTTTTGACTAGTTTGAATTAGAAAATATTAATTTGTCGATAATAAGTATTTTGGCATGTAACTAAATATGTGGGGGGGGGGGGTATCAGATACAATTTGATGCCTCGATCTCCCCTAATAATACGTGTGTGTTTGAATGTATGTGTCAACCAATCAGTCAAGAACCAGGTTCCTTGACTCAGCAAGAACAGTAACTAAGAATATGTGTTCACTTGTTTCGATATACTCAGCATAGTTACAATAACAAACAGTAAGTAAGGTAAGTGTTGAAAGTAAAGATTGAACAAATAACTTTATATGAAAATCCTTGCTCAAAGGAGTAAAATCACAACCTGTTCTCAACAGAACTTTTCAATTTGCTTCCACTAATCTTCTCCAAGCAAAAGTAAAAATCAATTTACAAAATGAGATTAGCTTGCTGATATCCACACTAAGCAATACCACCTATTACTTGGACAAGCCGGAGTAGATACAACACTGCCCACTAAGCTATCATTCCTAGATAACTTAGACTTCAACTAAGCGGATACCACACCGCCCACTATACTAATCCAACTGATTAATATAGACTTTTATAGTCCTAAATATGTTCTTACAAGACTCAAACCAGCTTTGAAATGTTTCTAACAAACAATAAGACGAATCCTACAAGTTAAGCTCAATACAAACATTCAAGAACAACAACAAGTACGGAAAACACTTCTGCTCTTGATCAGGTCCTTGCTTTATGTATTCTTGTGCTTGAGTTATTCCTTGAAGATGACTTTGTCTTTTTAAGCTTGTGAATTTAATTTGCCGAATCTTGAGTTTGTGTTTGTTGAAAAAAGATAATATAAATCACCACAAACTCGTTGAGACCATCCCACTGGTTGAAGGTCTGCTGTTAGAGATGTGTGCACTTACCACATTTGAGGTAGCAACTTTTCTGACGGTTGTCTTGTAACCTTTCATATCGTAGTCTTGCAGGGACTAGGTCATTTGCAAACTTCTTTGTGAGTTCTTGAAAAGGCTTGTTGACTGACTTTCTTCTTTGGATGGATGAATTTATTTGTTGTTTGTCATGTTGACTAAGTCAACCATAAAGAGTTATTGACCATTAAACAAATACTTGCGCTTATTCTGATTGGTGTAATATGTTGACGCTTTCCGACTCTGACACAATAGCTTTATAGTTGTTCCCAATAATGGATTTGGACGAGAGAATTTAACAAGAGATAATGTCTCTTTGTTTGTGAGAGTAACTGAGACAGACAATCTCATCCGCTCTTCCTATTGATTTAGGACATTGCACTTTTCACCTATCGCCTGACATGACAACTTTACCGTTGTACTCCATTTGTATCTGGATGAGAGCACTCTACCAGGGATCAGGTCCTTACCTTTGAAAGGATCATCAAAACACCTAAAATATAACAGTATACCTTCCATGTGTTCTCATTATAGGACTCAGGGTCATAAATTTTTTGATACTCAACAATCTCTATTTAAAAAATAATCACAAATTTCTGAGATTATGATATAGGAACGATTCAAATTGTTAGTGCTATGTTTCACAATGTTTGTACAGGACTTTTGAGATATTAGCTCTTATTAAAGTAGAATGTACTTTAATTCTTATATGATTTTACTAAATTTAATAACTTTTATACAATATTTAGTATAAGTAAAATTACCAAAATTTCAGCAAATAGTTAGTGCAATATAATGGATTCCCTTCAAATTGAATTGATATATACCCAATAATGCACCTTGGAGTACGTAGTTGATAGCACTACAATCAAAATAACTTTTAGCGGTAATAAATAGACTCATTAATAAAAAGTGTTAAAGCTTTTAACGGTATTAGTTAAGTGTCATTAGATTCAATGTCACTAATGTCTTTAGAACATATATATAAAGAGTTTTAATTACCGCTAAAAATACATATTTAACAACAATTGCTAATTAATTGTCACTAAAAATCATTCTCGACGTAGTGTATGTATGAAAATAACAATTGATTGGATATTTAGGTAGTTGCACAGTATATTTATCCATCAGGTGCAGCAGATGAAGAGAGATCAACACGATATCCTACGACAGGAGTTCAAGAGGATGCAGTTACGGTAGGTGAAGCACTAGAGGCAGTGGCACTTAAGCCTGAGGGGAACAAACCAATTGAACAGAGCGATGCTGCAGCCATACAGGCTGCAGAAGCAAGAGCTACTGGACGAAGTGAAGTAGTGCCAGGAGGCGTAGGAGCGGAAGCTCAATGTGCTGCTTCGATAAATGCTCAAACGGATGACAAGACCACACTCAGAGATGTGCTAAAAGTAAGTTCATTTTGCATGTTATGTGGACATCATCATATTCTATCAATTACAAGTTTATTTCATATTCAAATTAGGGTTAATTATTGTTTATTGGTTATTTAGGATGCAACGAGCAAGCTTATAGAAGATAAAGCAGCGAAGAGGGAAGATGCAGAAGGCGTGGTGGGTGCTGAAATAAGAAATACGCTCGACTTGGCTACACATCCGGGAGGTGTAGCAGCCTCCATCACCACAGCATCTGATCTCAACGAATTCTAATGAATGTATTTGTTTTGGTTTTTGTCTAGGTAGTTGAGTGCAGTGACACGGATTCAGGACCTTTTCGGAATTTTGAATCCTCTAAATTACTAGTCAACCTTTAGTCTTGTATTAAAGAGATTAAAAATAATTTTAAAAAAATTAACTTAATCTTTTTTCGAGGGGGTTTTGATGAACATTCTGACAACCTCCTAAATCCGCCCTTGGTTGAGTGTGCGTATATACATGGTGGTGTGATTATGAGATTGTGATGGTTATTTAAATTTTATTTTTAGAGAATTGGCGTTGGTCTAGTGCCCTTGTCTATCCTTGAGCGAATACTAAATGTGACACACATATATTAGTGTATAATTTATAATAGTTAGGAGATAAATTGTTCTCAGTTGAGTAAACATTAGGATTACATCACTCTTCAGTAAAATCTCAAAAATAAATCAATTCTTTTTTCCAAGTGCATGACTGAAAATAACGTTTCAGTCTTTTTTCCAAGTGTATGGTTTTGCACCATCTGCAAAATCGTTGTAAAATTTTAAATTTTAAAGAAGTTTAAGTTGCTACTTTTCTGAACTATTAACATTTCACACCTAAAGTTTTCTACTTTCAAGTGATATGGGCAGTCAGGAAACTTATATGAACCTAATTAATTCTTCCTAAATTTGCTTTTGATGCACACGAGGTTTCAGGTTAATGCTTATTAAAAAGGATTTATATTAAATAGTTTTTCATGACAAGAGTTTAGCTAAAATTTTTACAAAGAATGTTCAAATTTATTATTGAAAAATATGAATCATCAAATAATATGTTGGACCCTTTAGAAAGTCAAATGGAGTAGGTATGATAGTTATTCAATGGCACTGATGCATTCATTGGGGGATATTTATAGGATTGTCCAATTGCGATCTCAACTGTGATCTTAGCGTTTTCTAAATTTAAGGATGAGTTGCTTGGCTATGGATTCCTCCTCTCTCTGGTCCCTTTTTTAGGTTTAAACTATACTCCCTCCTTCGACAAGTAATTATTATGATTTCTTTTTTTAGAGTCAAACTATACGAATTTTGATCAATATTTTATAATGTATATTTTCATCATATTGATATACAAAATATGCAATTTATAGTTCTTTTCGTATAGTTTTTGAATATCTAATTTTTTTTATAAAAAAAAATTGAACTAACGTAATTTAATTTAACTTTAAAAATTAGTCAAATTGACTTTGAAAAAGCGCTACATTATAAATAAAAGTGGACAGGGAGAAAATCTATTTTGGAGTTGTATCTCCGTATTCTAGAGGATTTAGATTTTTGGTACAATGAATTTCAAATTCTAGGAAAAATTTTCGCAATTATTTGATTTTTAATTGTGAAACCTTGTTTAGGATTGAAAATTGTTTATTTTTGGTTGTTTAATGGATTATGTGCTGGTAGTTAGTCAGTTCACCAATCGGGGTTAGTCTGGATGGTATGCACGATGGATTAGGATTGTGACAACAAGAGAAATCGTAACACAATAATAAGGTGTGATCACCTAAAGACCAATGATATCAAAATACACCAATTATATGAAAAGACTGATACTACAATCAATATAGTGTTCTACACTACCAAGGACGTCTCACACAGAAAAAGACAAAAAGGATTCTTAAAAAAAAAACTCAAGAACAAGGCACATTTTGTAGTATTTAAATGGCTATGATTATCTATAGTTCTTACCACAATGAATTTTCATGATTTGCGAACACCACAAGTTCCTTGTGATAAGGACTACATATTGTGTTGTTTATGAGTCTTTTCATAAACTCTTTCTATTTTTTCTTGTATGGAATTTCCTTGTCAATCTACTTTCAATGAAATCAAACTTTATTTTTTCTATTCGTGGCTGAAGAGGAGAAGTGTGATTATTTGGTATGTGGATCAAATGACTGTTACTAATGTTGTGTGTTTCTTTGCTTAGTATTGACACCTATTTATAGGAAAACTTTAAATTTTGTAAAATTTTTGAATAGTTTGAATTAAAAAATATTTAGTTATTGATGGTAAGTATTTTAATACGTAACTAAATGGGGGTGTATTAGATACCAAGTTGAATGTTATTAATTTGAAATATATGTAGTTTGTTGTACGGAATTCGAGATAATACGAGAAAATATAAATGCGAAAAACAAGACAACAGATTTACGTGGTTCACCAATAAATTGGCTACGTCCACGGGGAAGAGAGGGAGCAGTTTTATTATGGAGAGGCAAAAACAGAATTACAGAATAGGGTTTGCCATAGCGTCTATATATAGTGCTAAGCTACGCCCTAACAGGCTTGGGCCCAACATACAGAATTGACAGATAATTAAGGGCCCAACAGCGAGACCCCCGTCCTTTCTGTTGTAACGGGTCCGATTCAAGGCATTCAACAAATCTCCACCTTGACTTGAATTCTCCGAAAAGATTCTTCAGACGTACTATGATAGTGCCAGGCCTCCCCCTCTTCCTCAGAATTGCCCCGCAGGGCAATTAACAGCTTCTGATGTTGAGCAAGTCCAAACAGTGTTGAAACTTGCTCTGTGGAACCGGCTTTGTGAACATATCAGCAGGATTATCAGCAGTTTCTACTTTCTTCACCTTGATTCTCTTCTCACTTCTCAGAAAATGATACCTCACGTCAATATGCTTGGTTCTCTCATGATGGACTTGATCCTTGACTAGACAAATTGCGCTCAAACTGTCACAATACACCGTAGCCTGATCATGATGCAGACCAAGATCACTAACCAGCCCTTTCAGTCAAATCCCTTCTTTTGCAGCCTCTGTCAAGGCCATGTACTCCGCTTCCGTAGTAGACAAAATCACTGTAGGTTGCAAAGTTGTCTTCCAACTGACGACAGATCCTCCAAGGGTAAACACATAGCCAGTCATCGATCTTCTTGTGTCAACATCTCCAGCATAGTCAGAATAAGAATAGCTAGTAACCAAGCACTGAGT